CCCCCCTTGGCAGCTCAGTGGCTGCCATCCGCCAGAGGCCATTGGACAGTCAGGTTTGGGCCCACAGTGACGAGACATGCAGGGCCTCACAGGATGGGGGTGGAGCCGGCCTTTTCCTTCCCATCCCAACAAGACCCCAAGTCACCGCCAATGAATGGTCTCTCTGGCTCCTGATCAAGCTGCTTAACAGCCATGATCCCAGAGACTCAGGAACAAATCTCAGAACCCAACAGGTTTGGGCAGAAATCCCTTCAGATTTAAGTGTTAAATTTTCAGAATTTCAAAATCGCGCAGCCACTACTGCAGCCATGCGACATCATATGTTATTCTTAACCAGCAATGGAAAACAAATTGTCTACTATTGCTTTTTCAGCAGATCTGAGTGTTGGGGTAAAATCCCAAATAATAATGGTGGGCCTGGTGTCAAAATATTGAATGTGATCAAAGTAGAGAGAGAGTAATGTGGAAATCATCTGTCCAACAGGTAGGGGGAGGGTGTGGGATGGGGGTAATTGGAATATTGAATGCCTGTAACAAATTATCTTGAACAATTTTGTAAATCACTTAATCACTTAATCACTTAACTTCCCGTTAGTCGTCGATTTGCTCGAGCGGGCGCCAGTAACGTCTCCATTTGTCCCTGTCGCGTGCTAGTGTAGCCCAATGGCATCTCTTCGCTCCGGGAACATGGAGGGCCTCAAACCGATCGTTCATGACCTTGACAAAGAAGTCTGACCATCTGGTAGGTGGGCGGCCACGCGGTCTCTTGACATCCCGTGGAATCCAATCAGTAACAGCTCTAGTCCAACGGTCGTCTTTAAATCTCATTACGTGACCAGCCCATCTGATTTTCGACAACTTGGCAAATGAGACAGCGTCCCTGATCCTTGAGCGTCGACGGATGTCAGAACTCCGGATTCGTTCTCTCATTTGAGTGAAACGTGATATTCCAAGCATAGCTCTTTCTATTCTTCTTTGGGAGACCTGAATGGCGTTCTCATCTTGTTTGCGTAGGGCCCAGGTCTCTGAGGCATATGTTAATGCAGGAAGAACAGTGGAATCAAAGAGATGTGCCCGGAGCCGGAGGTTCTTCGTCCTCTTAGCTATTTCTTCGACGTTCTTGAAGGCGTTCCAAGCCGCTCTCTTCCTCCTGCGCAGCTCGGGTGCCAGGTCATTTGTCATGTTGACCTCTCGACCTAGGTACACATAGCTGTTGCATTCGGAGATGGTCGTTCCATTGAGAGCGAATGGGGCGTCAGGAACAAGGCTGTTTCTCATAAACATTGTCTTCGTAAGATTCAGCTGTAGTAAATCACAGTTTAAATAAAGTGCAGGGAGGGAAAAGAGCCTCGTGGTTATATACTATTCTTGCTGCCTTTACTCAAATAACAAGCCAAGTTCATTACCATTCGATTTGATTCACAAATAAATATCACTATAATTATTTAGGGGTGGAGCGATAGCACAGCGGGTAGGGCGTTCGCCTTACACGCAGCCAACATGGCCGACCCGAGTTCGATTCCTCCGCCCCTCTCGGAGAGCCCGGCAAGCTACCGAGAGTATTCGATATGCCAGACACAGTAACAACAAAGTCTCCAATGGAGACGTTACTGGGCCCGCTCAAGCAAATCACTATAATTATCTGTGGTATAAATGGAGAGAAATAATAGTTTTAAAGACTGGAGATAGTACAGCTGTTAAGATGTGTGCCTAGAATGTACTAAACGTGGCTCAACGGCAAGCACCACATGGATTTCTGTATCACTGGGATAGCCCTAGAGGCCACAAACCATCCTACATGTGACCCGAGGGACCCCCCACAGCACCCACAGGTGGTCTTAGAGCTCCCCAGCACTTCAGTTCCTGAGCAGTACTATACCCTTGGACCCTGTCACTGAACATCAGTCCAGCTGGCTGAATGGCCTCTAAAGACCCCTGAGCACCTCTTGGAAGGTACACAAATGTATGTTTCAGTAAGCATCTTCATGGGTATGAATTCTAGTTCTCTAATCGTTTTTGAGTCTTTGTTTCTTATTCTATAAACCAAGCTGTATCCTGACTTCTCCTAGTGTTCATCAGTATCTGGTTAAAATTTTCCAAACAAGGGACTGAAAAGATAGTATAGGGTTAAGGCGCCCTGCACAAAACTGACTTCAGTTCTATCCCTGGTCTCTGGAGCATTGCCAGGAGCAACCTCAGCACAGAACCAGAAGCAGCTCGTAAGCACTGCTAAGTGTGACCCCAAACCAAAACAAAATAAGAAAACTGTACCACTCCCTTAACTACCTACAGTATTGGAAACCAGAGGGTATCCTAGGATTTCTACCAGAAATAACCTACAGAACAATGGAGCTGTGTGGAGCAAACATGTTAAGGGCATGAGTGTGACTCCCTGTGCCCTTCCCATGTTCTGACCTAAACTCCCAATGGTGAACCTACTATTTCACAAATAATTGACTCTTTAGTGATCACCTGACTCAGGTTTAGAGCAATGACCCTCCCAAACTGGATCTCAAGTTGTTGAGAGCAAAAGTGGGAGCAGAAGCCAGAAGGAAAAAGTCTTTGTCAACGTTTAGGTCAGACAGTGAACCAAGTTTTGTCTGGATGTCTGGACTCATCTATCCTACCTCCAGTCTGTCTGCCCTCTCCGCTCTTTTCTTCTTCTTGCCTGTCAGGCCCTGTATTCATTTCCATTGACTGCATACTTCCTGACAGCACATTAATCATCTTTAACAGTTTTTGATTCAGAAGCCTACATTGGATTTTGCCGAATTTCAGCTGAGGTGTGAGAAGGTCACACCACCTCTGGTTCAGAATCCCTCTCTGTTTTCATCATCTAGAGCTACACTCTTATATTCCTTGATGCCGGGATCCTTGCTCCTTATTTAAATCCAGTTGAAGTGTTTAAGTTGTTTAAATGTCTCTGTACTTCTGTCTTCACAGCATATCTGTGATACCTTCACAAAACCCACATGAACTTTTGTGTTGTATCAATCCCAACCAGATGAGTTGAGCATATTCTTTGATTCCAGGAGCAGGGCATAAGCACCTCAGGGAAACATGATTCATCCTCTATCTCTTAGGACTCACGTTTCTGCTTTATATTACTCCTGTGTGTCTCCTGTCCACCCATCTGTTAATTGCATATCCTCTCCATTCCTCCTCCCAGGGATGATTTCACATTACACGTGTATCTGTCTTTCCTTCGATGGAGATGGGTGGAAGAGAGAGAGAGAAAAGGGGTGTGTTGCCAGATATTAGACTTAGGGAAGGTCACAGAGACAGCCCTCAGTGAGTTCCTCTTTGGCATGGGTCATTTACTCTGCCAGTTCTCTTGTGACTATCAGGCCATACGCGCATGTTTGATCGTGTCTGCCTGAGAATCAATCTTTGTCACCTTGAGTCTCAGAATCTAGGATGGGATGAGATTTAAGTCTTTGGGTTCCAGAAAGAACAGAGTCACTTTAGAAGGAACTGGCTTTATCAGGGTAATTCCCAGAGATATTTGAAGGAGGAGATATCATGATCTCAGATAAACTCCTTCATAGCCGGAGATAAGTTCCTGCCAGTACCACAGAGACAGCTGTCAGACCACACCTCAGTTCACTTGATCTGCATGACCTGAGATCATATTTAGAATCTGTGGATCTCAGGAAAGGGTTACAATTTTTTAGATGTGAGAATGAAAAGAAATAGGCTTGATGCCTAGGGTCCAGCTCAGGGTCCAGAATCGTAACTTCATTGAAAAAAAAAAATCCAAAGAGAAGACAGACTATAGATAAACTCTGAAGTATTTCTTATGCCCTAGAAGTTATTGAAACACTCTCACAGGAAAGTCTTACATTGAGTATTGGAAGAGAGTGTTCAAGGAGTGAACTAAGAGAACTACGCACAAAGTGTTGGATATGAGTGATGGATTTACCATGCCTATGAGAACAGTATACTTGACATCATAAATTCATTATGCGGCTAGAAGCATGTGAATTAGTACATATGTGGTACAATGAAAAGTAAAATGGGTTGAGGGTTTTACTCTCAACACATGCTCCAATAACTAACTGAAAATAGTTTTCAGAGTCTTCCCTTTCTCCGGAAGTTGGCTGCCTTCTCAGGACCCCAGGACTCTCTTTCTTCTGTCACATGATATAGCCTCTTCTGCTTCTTAAAACAGGTTTCTGCAATGCCTTTGCTACCTCAGAAATGACAGGTGAGATGAGAAGAGTAGGTATCTACTCTGGTACAGGAGCCTCAGCTGGGCAGGACAGGTCCCCTCACTTCCCAGGACATGGATTGGGCAGCTGTCCAAGAGGGACCAGGAGAAGCCCAGATGTGGTGGATAGAAGAGGCAGTCAAGTCCCAGGCACCTAGCAGTTGGTGCCCAACAGGATGGCCCACTAGCATTGCCCTCCCCTGAGGGATCACACACAGAGGAAATTTTCCTCAGCCTGCTCGTTGGTCCCTCTCCTGTGTCACTTCCTGCTATTCTCCATCCCCAGATCCTGATGCCATCAACAGGTCGCCTGTGGTAGGATGGCACTCTGCATCACAGAAGGTCTCTTCACCCCGGACTGTGCCCATAGTCAGATCTTCCTGCCACAGCTGGGCCCAGTCACAGCGCTGCAGCAGCCCTACACAGAGAAGTGGCAGAGTCTGACCAGGAGGTGAGCTAGGAGCATATGGAACAGGAAGCTTGACCAGTCCAATGGCAATCAGAGAGCACAGGATTCTGGGATCTGGGCCCTCTCCAGGTGGGAGTCCTAGAGCAACAGAGACTTTCCAGAGTCTGGGCCAGGATCGCCCTCTCCCAGCCTCTGGTGCCCTTCTTCCCATGAGAGAACAGATCCTGAACTTAGAGGTATATGTGCTCCTACCCCATTAGGCAGCTGCTGTGTTCTCTGTCATCTGGCTTGAGATGAGCTTTTAATACATTATAGCTCTATAGTCAGCTGTGGTGATAAATAAAGATTATGCAAGCAAGTCGACACTTCTCTGTGTTTGTTGGATGAATGAGCAAGCTCTTTAATCCGCTTGATAATAAACACACATGTTTCCATAGCATAGCCCTTGAGGAGATTAAGTGGTGTCTACCCCTCTTCTAAACTACAAGCTTTCCAAAAGGAGGGAGCCCCCAGCCATCCCATGAGCCAACCCAAGAGAGTGGTGTCTAGGGTTCCAGAGCAGTGTGTCTGAGCCCTACTCTCAACAGAGCTACTTCCCAGAGCCTGCCTTCAAGGACTTCAGGTGCAAGTGGATGCCATTCTTGGAGCGCAGGATCAGCTGCGGAATCTGGATGGGGAGCTGAGAGGGATCCAAAGAAAACTCAAAACGGAGCAAGCAGAGGGCCGCGACCACCTTCATTTCATTCATCGCAAACTGCTGCCCAATGCAGTTCCTGCAGTGAACAACACAACAACAAGGGATATACCTGGGGTATTGGCAAAAGAAAACCGGCATGCTGGGGGTATGGTGCCGCCAGCAGGTCAGTCTGTACCTGTGAGGCGAGTGCATCAGCAGCCTGATGGCGCCTTCAGACTTCCAGATACCCCAAAATTGCTGCTGTGCCTTTGGCCAGACCTCAAAAACTTGGGGCAAAGTTTACCAAGAAAGTAAATGGCCAAACGTTAGGTATGTGGGAAATACACCCACAAACCACCTCCAGCTCAGCTGTGTAATTGGAGGCAAGGCCTCTCTGGTTCCTGATTGAACTGCTTAACGGCCATGATCCCAGAGACTCAGAAACGAATCTGAGCGGCTTTTGGCAGAAATGCATCTGGACCCCACAGTACGTTACTGCTGCCAGGTCACCCCAGGGAGGAAAGAGTGTTGTCACTCGCCTGCTCCCCCTTGGCAGCTCGGTGGCCGTCATCCTCCAGAGGCCATTGGACAGTCAGGTCTGGGCCCACAGTGACGAAACTTGTTGGGTCTCACAGGATGGGGGTGAAGCCGGTCCTGGTCTCCCCATCCCAACAAGACCCCAAGTCATTGCCCACGAACGGCCTCTCTGGCTCCTGATCAAGCTGCTCAACGGCCATGATCCCAGAGATTCAGGAGCAAATCTCGAAACCCAGTGACTTTTGGCAGAAATCCCTCCAGATTTAAGTGTTAAAATTTAGGAATTTCAAAATCACGTGGCCCTACTGCAGCCACGCAACATCATATGCTATTCATAACCAGCAATAGAACACAAATTGTCTAGAGTTGCCTTTTCAGCAGATCTGAGTGTTGGGGTAAAATCTCAAATAATAATGGTGGGTCTGGTGTCAAAATAATGAATGTGATCAAAGTAGAGAGAGAGTAATGTGGAAATCATCTGCTCCACAGGTAGGGGGAGGGTGTGGGATGGAGGTATCCTGGGGTTGTTGGTGGTGGAGAATGGGCACTGGTGAAGGGACGGGTGTTTCATTGTATGACCGAGACTTAGACCCGAAAGTTTTGTAACTGCTCTCACGGCGATTCAATAAATAAAATTATAAAAAATGAAAAAAAAAAGTAAGGTGGAGTTCATGCCCAATTCAATCAGCTAATCAGTGGCTGAATAAATAGCAGTACTCCTACATTAAAAAAAAAAAGAAAAAGAAAACCGGCATGCTTCATAAGCAATAAAACTTAGAAACTATTTTTTTCTCATCCATTGATTGACCAGGGCTTAAGGCACAGATGAGAGAAATGAAGTAGCTTCACATTGGGGGTTCCCCTATGGGGGGTTTCTCTCAAAACCATGCACCCACCCCACCACATGCCAGGCATATGAGTATTCTAATGGCAAAAAGAAGGTCCCCAAAATTTACCCCCCAGTAGAATCACCAACCAGCCCTTCCTTAGTTCCCAGAGTGATGCTTTCCCAGCCTCCTTGTCCCTCAACCCCTAGTCCTGAGGGCCGGAAATGTCAGGCCTCTCCCTACCTGGGCCCCGCAGAGAAGGGGATGAAGGCAAAGGGGTGGCGTCCAGATGAATTCTCAGGGGAAAAACGCAGGGGGTCGAAGACCTGGGGGGACAGACCTTGCTTGAACACCTGCCACGCACTGGAAAGGGGTGACCCCACTGCCTCCCACACCATCCAACCACCAGGCCGAGGGTTGAGGTACCTCAGGATCTGGCCACACAGCGCTGTTCCTGTGGAGGGCATAGATGTGCAGAGACACCAGACTCCCTGTAAGCAGAGCAGAGCCTGTGACCAGGCAGTTCAGGGAGAGCAGGCCCCACCTCACGGAGCCAGACACCCTTAAAGTCCACTGACTGGACACCACCTCTTGCAGAAACAGCTTATACCTCCTTCAACACAGGGAGATATTTCCTGTTGCTTCAGAACTGGACCAGTCTCTGACTGAGAGACGTGTGAACAGCAAAGTGGGGAGAATAGAACCTGCCCGCCGTTGGGAGGAAGAATAGACAGCAACTGAGAACCTTCCCATCCTTAACTAACTTTCTAGGCAAGTTATTGCTATCAGCAATAACACTATAGTTCACCAGTTTCTCACTGTACGCCAGAGGCAGACTAAACCCCATCCACCAAGAGGCCACCCAGAGCAGTGGAGGTTGTGCATCACACAATATGTAAATAGGGCCTACTGAAGTTGCTCAGGGCACAGCCTGCTCAGTGGTACATGGCAAGCCCTGATCAGCACTGTTGTTCTCCTCTTGGCAACATCCTGGAAGGCTCTTCAACCCCAGTGTTAGACTATGAAATAGAGAGCAAGAAGGGGGGGCATACCCAAACACTGTAACTTTTGGATTTGAACCCAGGCTAAGCCCCAAGCTTGACCTCTTCCCCATTAGTGCAAAGATTTGGCCAAAGGGACAAAGAATGTAAGAGAAGTACCCGTCAGGACTTTGGTTCCATCCCCCAATACTCCCATCCCACCTGCAGGAAGAGAGCGGCCATCCACAAAACTGACGGGCTTGTTGAGCTGGCGGTACACCTGGGGCACGGGTGGGTAGAGGCGGAAACTCTCCTTGATGCACATGGTCAGGTAGGTCATCTTGCCCAGATCGTCCCTGCCAGCAACATAATCAGGTCTTCCTCAGACTGGGGAAGAACGAACTTCGAAGGGAAGGCAGGCTTGGGCCCCAGCTTCCCTCTTTCAACACCATCACACTCCTCACAGTGAGAGGCACCACACTGCAAGGCCCAGCCACACTGCACACAGGGCTGCTGCTTCGGCCTCTCAGTTCAGTCCTCACTTTCTCCATCCCTTCTACTTCACACAGACAGGGAAAGCAGAGGACCTGAGAGGCATGTGTGTGCGCATGTGTGTTCCCCCAGCTATCAGAGTGAAGAAAACTCTGTCTCTCTGGCCCACACAAGCCCTGTGAAGGACAGTTTGTTAGGTGCTTCCTCTGAAAGAACCTAGTTTCCCCCAAGGAACTGGAATGGCAAGAAACAGACATTAGTTTGTGTTGGTTGAATAAAGTAATACACGCATGCATAAGCAATTACAAGCTCAAGTTATACACGTGTGTATTTGTACTTCTGCTCTTTCTGTCGCTACCAGGAAGTTCAACTAGTGGGGCTATGAGGATTCAGTGTTGCCTTGGCATGAGCAGGGGCCACAGGGGGTCAAACTTGAGGCAGAGAACTTTTCAGACGGCACTTTAAGCCACGAAGCCATTTACTATGCCCCAATGTCTCAGGCTTGAGTTACTCTCACTTACTCTTTGCTTCATTCTGATGAAGTCACTATCTCTAGGAGGGCAGAGATGACATTTTTAGACAATGTGAACATGAAGAGGATTAATAACCAGCTATGCAGACACAGAGGAGAGGTCCCCTCTACAAGGCTCTGACACTGCCCTCTTGGACTCAGCAAGATTCTCCTCGGGAAGTCAGCTTGGGGCCTGGGCCTGTGCTGGTCAAGTCGAAGTCCCCTCCAATTAAAGCCTCCTTCATGCGCTACTTTGCCTCTCCCTGATTTCTACCTAAGGTACATAAGGACCTTAAGATCTGGACCTTTCCGATATTCGCCGAATACACATCTGACAAGGGGTTGATATCCAGGATATACAAAATACTGGTTGAACTCCACAAGAAGAAAACATCCACCCCATCCAAAAATGGGGCAATGAAATGAACAGAAACTTTCTCAAAGAAGAAATCCGAATGGCAAAAAAGCACATGAGAAAATGCTCTACATCATTAATCATCAGGGAGATGCAGATCAAAACCACAATGAGATACCATCTCACACCTCAGAGACTGGCCCACATTCAAAAGAACAAAAGCAACCGATGCTGGCGCGGATGTGGCGAGAAAGGGACACTCCTTCACTGTTGGTGGGAATGTCCACTGGTTCAGCCCTTCTGGAAAACAGTATGGACGATTCTCAAAAAATTAGAAATTGAGCTCCCATTTGACCCAGCAATACCACTCCTGGGAATATATCCCAGAGAGGCAAAAATGTATAGTCGAAGTGACATCTGCACTTGTTTGTTCATTGCAGCACTCTTTACAATAGCCAGAAACTGGAAGAAACCTGAATGCCCAAGAACAGATGACTGGTTAAAGAAACTTTGGTACATCTACACAATGGAGTACTATGTAGCTCTTAGAAAAGAAGAAGTCATGAAATTTACATACAAGTGGTACAACATGGAAAGTATCATGCTAAGCGAAATGAGTCAGAAAGAGAGGGATAGACATAGAAAGATTCATCTGGGGGATATAAAGTAACAAAATATGAGATTAATACCCAAGAATAGCTGAGATCAGCACCAGGAGAATTACTCCATAGCTTAGTGGCCAGTCGGGCATTCTAGAGGAAAGGGCAGCTCAGACAGAGAAGGGAACACCAAATAAAGGGTGTTTGGAGGACCCTCCCAGGAGGGGAGATGCATGTCGAAAGTGGACTATGGACTGAACATGTTTGCCACTCAATGCCTCTTTTGCAGACCACAACACCCAAAAGGAGAGAGAGAACACAGGGGATTGCCCTGCCACAGAGGCAGGGGGGGATGGGGGGATGGGGGTGGGGGGGATATTATCCATGGTGGTGGAAAATGGGCACTGGTGGAGGGATGGGTATCTGATCATTGTATAATCAAACCCAAGCACAAAAAATTGTAAATCTACAACTGTACCTCATGGTGTTTCACTAATAAAAAAAAATTTAAAAAAAAAAAAAAGATCTGGACCTTTCCAGGTCTGGTGTCTAGAATACAACTCTAATTACTGTGCAATATCTTATTAGCCAAACCCCAGGGTTCCCCCCCTTATTTTTCATTTGTGTCTTATTTTATAGACTAAATATTCTTTCAGTTGCCAAGAGCTCTGCATGAAATGAAGTGAATAAAATAAATAGACATTTGGACGAGAGAGACAGAGCAGTGGGCAGGGAGTTTGCCTTGCATGTGGCAAGCACAGGTTAGGTCCCTGGTACCCCATATGGCACCCTCAATCCTGCCAGGAGTGAACCCTGAGCACCACCAGTTGTGGTCCAAAAAACAAAACAACAGCTACAACAAATCATTTGAACTCAGTTTCCAGGCTATGCTCACCTTATTCCCCAATTCAAAGTACCACACTTTCTTCTTTGCCTACCTAAACTTCACCTCTTTTTTGTGGGTAGAGAAAAAAATAGGAATCAGGCAAAAATTAAGTATTATTTTACATATAGATAAACTATATACACTACAAAAATATATCCAACCAATCCTGATGCTTCCAAGTCTTTTGCCTTCAATATGAGGTCATTCAATCTTAATGCCATTTTGTGATTTGTATTTTTGTTACGCGATTTTGCCTCTTGAAAAATTCTCACCCAAAGAAATGTAAACTGGTTCAGTCTTCATAAATTCCATCCAAAGTATTGAAAACAGAACTTTCATAGGAACCAGTACCTATTCCAAGAACACAGAAACACTAATTTGAAAAGACATGCACACACCTATGCCCCTTGCAGCTCTATTCACAGCGGCCAGGATCAGGAAAGATCCCAAGTACTCACAAGAGCAGAGTGTATAAAGATGTGGCATATGTATGTAATGAAAACTACTCAGCTACCAAAGGAAGATTGTTTTAACTTGCCGGTTTTTGACAGCATTGATGGAACTGGGGAAATTATGCTAGGTGCAGAAAATAAGAGAAAGACCGATATCAAATTATCTCACTGATAGGCAGAGTATAAAGAGACAGCAAGGAAATGGACAGCAGCAAAGAAGAACAGGCCCTGGGTTCTTACTGCAGAGAGGAGGTGGGAACCAAGAGTGCTGGGCCGGGGGATAGGTGAGGGATCTGGCCTGGAGTCACTGGAACTGTGGAGGCTGAAATATGCCAGCAAGTGTCCGATAAGGTGAGCTTGCACTTCTAGAATACATAGTATAGTCAAACATCGCCTCAGTAAGAAATAAAAATTGCTGTAAGAACTAAGGTATATTTTATATTTGCTTTTTTAAAACTAAGATTCCTGGGCCAAGGAACTAGTTCAAAGCGCATGCTTCCCATGATGGAACCTGGGTTCCACCCCCTGTGCTTCAGGGTCCCCTGAGCACCACAGAGGAGGGGCTCTCCAAGAACTGAGCCAAGAGTGTGACACCACCTGGTGTGACACCCTCAGTAAAAACTGGGCTCAAGGAGATAGTTCAAAAATCTGGAGAGCTGGGGCCCTGAGTCATAGTATAGTGGGGAGGGCGTTTTCCTTACACACAGCTGACCCAGGTTAGATCCTTGGCATCCCCTATGGTTCCCTGAGCACCGCCAAGAGTAATTTCTGAGTGCAGAACCAGCGTAACCCCTGGCATCACTAAGTATGACCCAAAAGGCAAATATATATATATGTATATGGAGAGAGAGAGAGAGAGAGAGAGAGAGAGAGAGAGAGAGAGCATGCTTGTGTATGCAGTAACACTGATCACTGCCAGCAGTGATCCCTGAGCACTGAACTAATAGTAAAACCTCTAAGCACCCCTAGGTGTGACCCACACTCATCAAAAAATTAAGACACCCATGAGGAAAGGCAACTTGGCTCCTTCCCATCTCTCCCTACAGCTCCAGATGTTACCAACCAAAATACAGATAAAAGAGGGACCAGAGCAATAGAACAGCAGGTAATGAGCTTGCCTTGCATGTGGGCCAACTAGAGTTTGACCCCAGGCACTGCATATGGTACCCCAATCCCACCAGGAATGATTCCTAAGTGCAGAGCCAGGAGTAAGCCCAGAGCACTGCTGGGTACAGTCCAAACCCCGCAATCCCCTACCCTCACCCCACCACCCTCTAAAAAGTAACAAACTCTCAAGTTGCAAATCTCAGATCCCAGGATAGCCCTCATTCTCCCTCTGAAAATGTGAAACTTCTCTGGGTGCCATGTGACTCACCTGTGCTGGAGGTTACAGAAGCATTCAGAGAGACAAGAACTACAAAATGAGGGCAGAAGTGGGAGCAGCTCCTGAGGAGACCCTTAGGACTCAGGACACAGAGAGCCCACCCTCTGCCTATGTCGCGTACACTGGCACCAGCATGTACCACCAAACAGCAATGAAACGTTCTGAAGGGGTGCATGTGTCCATCCAAAGGTGGCTGGGAAGGGACCCTTCCCCTCCAGCCCACACTGGCCTGCTCATTCCATTCCCTCCTTTCTCGCTCCATACATCAGCCCTCTGGGCAAGCAGGTGGATTCTGTGATTATGCCAGCAGAGGGCGACCACACACAATAAATCGTTCTACTAACAACCTTTTTCCCGACTGAAACCTGAACTTTCCCCATAGGAGAACGGATCACAGAAAGGCTGGACTATTGGGCATTCCCATCAACAGTGAAAGAGTGTCCCTTTTCCCCCACATCCATGCCAGCACTGGTTGCTTTTGTTCTTTTGAATGTGTGCCAGTCTCTGTGGTGCGAGATGATATCTCACTGTTGTTTTGATTTGCATCTCCCTGATGGCTAGCGACGATTGGAATGGGAAGGAATGGGAGTGAAGATAGATGGTCGGCAACTACACCACCTCCGCTTTGCTGATGACATTGTTTTAATAACACCAAACATTAGCCAAATGCTGGCCGACTTCGACCGTGAGTGTGGAAAGGTTGAACTACAGCTGAATCTTACGAAGACAATGTTTATGAGAAACAGCCTCGTTCCTGATGCCCCATTCGCTCTCAACGGAATGATCATCTCCTAATGCAACAGTTATGTGTACCTAGGTCGAGAGGTCAACATGACAAATGACCTGGCACCTGAGTTGCGCAGAAGGAAGAGAGTGGCTTGGACCGCCTTCAAGAGTGTCGAAGAAATAGCTAAGAGGACGAAGAACCTCTGGCTCTGGGCACATCTCTTCGATTCCACTGTTCTTCCTGCATTAACATACACCTCAGAGACCTGGGCCCTACGAAAACAGGAAGAGAACGCTATTCGGGTCTCCCAAAGAGGAATTGAAAGACCTATGCTTGGAATATCACGTTTCACTCAAACGAGAGAAAGAATCCAGAGTTCCGACCTCCGTCGACGATCAAGAATCAGGGACGCTGTCTCGTTTGCCAAGGTGTCAAAAATCAGATGGGCTGGTCACATAATGAGATTTAAAGACGACTGCTGGACTAGAGCTGTTACCGACTGGATTCCACGGGATGTCAAAAGACCGCGTGGCCGCCCACCTACCAGATGGTCAGACTTCTTCATCAAGATCATGAACGATCAGTTTGAGGCTCTTCATGTTCCTATAACGAACAGACACCATTGGGCTACACTAGCACGTGACAGGGACAAATGGAGACGTTACTGGCGCCCGCTCAAGCAAATCGACGATTAACGGGAAGTCAAGTGATCAAGTGATCAAATGATGGCTAGCGATGTGGAACAGTTTTTCATGTGCCTTTTGACCATTTGTATTTCTTTTTTAAGGAAACTTCTGTTCATTTCTTCTCCCCATTTTTTGATGGGGTTGGAGGTCTTTTTCTTGTACAATTCTACTAGTGTCTTGTATAACCTGGATATTAATCCCTTATCAGATGGCTATTGGGTAAATATTCTTTCCCATTCTGTAGGCTCTTTCTGTATTTTGGTTACTGTTTCTTTTGAAGTGCAGAAGCTTCTTAGTTTGATGTAGTCCCATTTGTTTATGTTTGCTTCCACTTGCATAGTCAATGCTGTTTCATCCTTAAAAATGTTTTTAGCACTCAATGCCTCTTTTGCAAACCACAACACCCAAAAGGAGAGAGAGAACAAAAGGGAATTCCCTGCCACAGAGGCAGGGTGTGAAGGGGGAATGGGGGGTGGGAGGGATACAGGGACCCGTGGTGGAAAATGGGCACTGGTGGAAGGATGGGTATTTGATCATTGTATAATTGAAATTCAAGCACGAAAATTTGTAAGTTACAACTGTACCTCATGGTGTTTCTCTAATAAAAGTTTTTTTAAAAAGATGTTTTTAGCTTCAATGTCGTGGAGAGTTCTGCCTACATTTTCCTCTAGTACCTTATGGATTCATGTCTGATATTGACGTCTTTAATCCACTTTGATCTGACTTTTGTGCCTGGCATTAGACAGAGGTCAGAGTTCATTTTTTTTGCAGGTAGCTGTCCAGTTTTCCTAGCACCACCTGTTGAAGAGGATTTCCTTGTTCCACTTCACATTTCTTACTCCTTTGTCAAAGATTAAGTGGTCAAATATTTGAGGGTCTGTGACAGAATATTCGACTCTGTTTCATTCGTCTGCAGGTCTGTTTCTAGCCCAGTACCATGCTGTCTTAATTACTACTGCTTTGTAATATAGTTTGAAGTTGGGGAGGGTGATGCCTCCCATCTTCTTTTTCCCAAGAAATAGTTATTCATTGTTCTATATGAATTTCAGGAGTGTTTTGTCTATTTCTTTGAAAAATGTCATGGGTATCCTGATAGGGACCACATTGAATTTGTATAGTGTTTTGGGCAGTATTGCCATTTTGATAATGTTACTCCTCCCTATCCATGAGCAGGAAAACAATATGGACAGTCCTTCAAAAACTAGATATTGAGTTTCCATATGACCCTGCAATACCACTTCTGGGAATATATCCTGAGGATGCAAAAAACCACAGTAGGTATGACATTTGTACCTATATTTTCATTGCAGCACTGTTCACATTAGCCAAAATCTGGAAACAACCCAAGTACCCTAGAAGAGAAGACTGGTTAAAGAAACTTTGGTACATCTACACAATGGAATACTATGCAGCTGTCATGAGAGATAAAGTCATGAACTTTACTTATAAATGGATAGACGTGGAGAATATCATGCTAAGTGAAATGAGTCAGAAAGAGAGGGACAGACATAGAAGGACTGCACTCATTTGTGGAGTATAAAACAACATAACATGAGGCTGACTCCTAAGGACAGTAGATACACGGGGCAGATAGATTGCTCCATAGTAGCTCATGAGGAAGCCTGCCTCATGAGCAAAGGGGAGAAGGCAGCTGGAATAGAAAAGGGATCACTAAGAAAAAGATGGCTGGTGGAATCAGTCGGGATGGGAGATGTGTGCCAAAAGTAGATAAAGGACCAAACATGATATCCTCTCAGGGTCTGTATTGCAAACCATAATGCCCAAAAGTAGAGAGAGATTATGGGGAATCATTTCTTCCATGGAGGCAGGGGGAGGGTGGGAAAGGGGGCTTATTCCGGAGATATTGGTGGTGGGGAATGTGCACTGGTGGAGGGATGAGTGTTTGATCATTGTGTGACTGTAACCCAAACATGAAAGCTTGTAACTATCTCACGTGATTCAATAAAATTAATTTTAAAAAAAAAAGAATGGCTCACAGGTGTGTCCATGCACTTCATGCCCCGCAAAGCCACACCCCTGACAGCTGCCTCCTCCTACCTGGCTTCCAGAACGACCCAGATAGCATGGTAGGATCCTTCCTGAGCTAAGTGGGCAGACCGCGCTCCCAGCTGTCTCACTCACCACTGTATGGTGTCCCGGTCTCCTAGGATCTCTCGGATTTCCTCCCGACAGCGACTCTGGTGCTCAGGGTACTTGGCCATGCAGAAGAGAAACCAGGAGATGCCACTGGTAGTGGTGTCGTGGCCTTCGAACATGAATGTGTCTACTTCAGCCCGGAGGTCCGCATCTGACAGCTTGACCCCATTTTCATCCTGGGTAAAGGAAGGTAAGGGGATGGGGGAGAGTTCAGGGCATTTGAAGTGGGTACCAGGGCTTCACACCAGGAGCTGCCAAATGCAGGTTCAAGGGTGGGAGGAAAAGTGTCTTATCAGACGGGAAGAGGGACACTTCCCCAGTCTCTGCTGTCCTTCACACCCAGTGGCCATGCCTTCTACTCCAGGACACCTCGCCTGAGCCCTCTGGCCAAGCAATCTGCAACCCTTACCCAGACAGCAATTGTCAGCTCTGATCGCTGGGCACACAGAGCCTGGCAGAGGAAGAGACCTTTCTTTGCCAGTATCGACTGGACCCAAAACGTGTGAGGTGCAGCCCTGTTTTCTCATCCTCTGTATTCCTAAACTTCAGCACTAACACAGGCTGTATTAGTTAGTTAGTTGTTCTCCTTCTCCATAAGGGAGAGGGGCAGGAGTCTAGGGGAGGGAGGGTGGGCTTAGTGAATGAGGAAATAAACGAATATGGTCTGGGATTCCAGGGCTGGAGCGATAGCACAGCGGGTAGGGCGTTTGTCTTGCATGCAGCCAAGAGAGCAGACCCGAGTTCGGTTCCTCCGTACTCCCAGAGAGGCCAGCAAGCTACCGAGAGCATCACGCCCGCACGGCAGAGCCTGGCAAGCTACCTGTGACGCATTCGATATGCCAAACACAGTAACAACAAGTCTCATGATGGAGAGGTTACTGGGCCCGCTCGAGAAAATCGATGAACAACAGGAGGACAGTGATAGTGATAGGTCTGAGATTCTAAATGTGGAGGGCGCCTAATTCTTCAGTCTCAGGCGTCTAGAGCTGTCCACGCCTTCTAGAACTTGGACTTATCTCTCGGCAGTGCTAGCCCCCTGCTCCACACTCCACCCCTCAGCTTTCGCAGGTCTGTGTCACAGGACAAGGAACGGGTCATACTCTTGGAAAGAGAAGAGGAGCAGGATCAGCCCTTTCTGCGGTCTCTTTAGCGCTGTCCCAGGAGAACAGTGAGAAGAACCGTTCCCCTGCGGATCGGACCAAGGCTCACCCGGACGCCCAGGAGAATGTCCAGGAAGTCCAGGTGCCTGCGGTTCTGCACCTTCTGCCACTCTTTCTCGTCCTTCAGGGCTGCCTTGCGCTCCTTGATGACCTTGTCTGGGCCGGAAACAAAAGAAATCACTGCCTGGGGGGCTTATCCTTTGCCCTAAGAGGAGCCGAGGTCCCCCAGAGATACCCCAGGAGCAGATTGGAGTCAGGTTGAGGCGGCCTTCAGGGAGCCCCACCTGTGTGGTCGTGCGCCACCTTGCAGGCGCGCAGGAAGCGGCGCCCGTGCGGAGTGAACCAGTAGATGAAGTCATTGTGGTACTGAAAAGTCTCAATGCGCTGCTGCATCAACATCGTGAGGTCGCTGACCGCCAAGTAGTACTCGTTGTCCCTGTACAGCCCAAAGGAGAAGAGACGCTTGCACGAGGCGCACTGCAGGAGCTTAGAACTCCAAACCGGGAAGCCAGCCCCCGCTCTTCCGCCCTTCCCCTCCTCACCACGAAAACCAGAACCTGTCTCCCCCCACGGACAAGACCCATTTCCCAGCCCAACCGGGGCACCCTGGTGCAGGACCCAATCTCCAACTGGAGCAAGCCTGCTCCTGCAACCCTACCCCCACAACAGCCCAGAAGGAGGGTATGGTCAGCCCCAGAGATCCTGACCTCTCACACAGGCCGCTGTCTCCTTTGCCAAAGGTACATTTCATGAGTGTGTCCAGCGCCATGCGGCCTACGTCACAGAAGATGTCAAAGCTCTTCTCCTCACAAGCCCTCTTCTCCCACTTGTCCTGGAACCCCAGGAATGAAAGGTGATGGAGGGGTTCAGCCAGACTGGGTGCTTCACCCCTGCCCTCTAGGATCCTCAGCCTGTCTCCCCACCACACACCCCAGTCCCTGGCCTGATCACCATCTGCTGGAATGTGAGGGCGGGAGGGGGGAGGCGCGGGGACTCTAGGCTCAGAGGTGGGGGCTTTGCAAGCAACACTCCCCTGGGCAGCCTGGGCAAGTCCCAGCTGACTGACTGGGTTCAGTGAGCCTGTCTGGGCTGCTCAGGAAAAGCCGCACTGCAGGAACCTTAGACAGGAGCCTGATGCTGTGGGCAGAAGCTTGACAGATGTGATAGTTCTTCCTCATGTTCCCAGCTCACAAGTGTGCTGTGGGGTGGTATGGAGGCTACATAGAGGAGCTTGGGTCTGGGAGAGGGCTGGTGTCCCTGGGAGTTCAAGGCCCAGCGTGACGAGAGACCTGGCATCTACAGCCCCATCAGCATCCAGCACACAGAGTAGGATGCAAAGGGGCTGGGGGGGCTGAAGGGGACTCAGTGACTCTCCTCAGCACCCTCCCCAGGGCAAGCCAGGGTAGGATGCAGTTGCCAGTTCACTGCAGCCTCCAGGAACCAGGGGAACTCACCAGCATGACGTTTGTGGACTCAGCAAAAATGGCCACGTAGGGCTTTAGCACATCATAATGGAAGCCGGGTGTGAGCAGTTTGCGGTGCTGATACCACTTGGGCCCCTGGAGGACCAGTAGCCCTTTCCCTGGGGAAGGAAGGGGAAAGAGAGGTGCACCCAATCCTGCCCCACCATGCCAGCCTGGAGCCAATCAGCACCTACATCCCGCTCCCCTCCCTGCCTAGCCCTAAACTTAACCCAGCTCTCCTTCCAGCGCACCCACAGCCCTGGCTCTACCGCCTCTGCTTCCCTCAGGCCCTTGCCCCAGTCAGGACCTCCAGAAATAAACCCTCACATACACACCCCAACCTTCCCCAGAGTCCTTGCCCTGCCTGTTTGGGAACCAAGGGGCAGCCCGAGCATGAGATGACTAAGTCCCCACTCCCCTGAAAACAGGGAGTTCTCCTGCCTCCCCTTCTCTTTTCCCATAGGGACCAAGCAGTTGGGTTAATGGGAACACTGAGGAAGACATGACAGGGAGAGACAGGTCAGAGAAAGCCCCTGGTCACCCTGATGGGCTAGGAAGAACAGGAGGGCAGGGCCCACTCACCAATCCACTGCAGGAAGAAGTCATACACATCTGCGGCCTTGGGGTCTGCAGGAGAAAGAGAGGCTCAGCTCACAGCTCACACAGGGACCAAGAGATGCCCAGAGGGGCTGATGATGGAGACCCGACCTCTGCTGCCCTGACTTGGGGTGCAGGGCTCCTCTGCCTGCTGCCCGGTGCTCTCAGGAGTCCCCTCTTGTCCCAGAACACTCACCTCCTCGGCTGTATACAGCTTTGGCATATTCAGGCTCATAGATGTTCAGGAAACCCAGGAACTGCCCGAACCACAGCGGGTGGGCGTGGGGGAACTGATTGGCCCAGGAAACCACCTTGTCCAGGGCTCCTAACTGCTTCATCTGAAGTGAAGAAAAAGACCATGAAACTCAGGAATCCCAACTCACCAGACAAGTCACCTGGGTGGGCAGGGAAGGAGGAGATGTCCAGCTAGGACCTGGGCTATCCTTCCCTCCTACCGTACCCCTCCCCAAACCACTACCCAGTCTTAAATACCCCTAGGCTCTGCCCTCTTGCCACTCCTTCCCCATTGCTTTCAGTCCAAGTCACCCTCTCACTGGAGCTGGGGGAGCCCCGTGCCCTGATCTACACAATCACTGGAATGAGATTTCTTTTTCCTTTTTAAAAGAGAAGTCTAATTTTTATTGTAGCTGGGGTAACATGATTAAAATAGATAGCCTGAATGTTTATCGTCTGGCAAACAAAGGTACAGCACCTCCACCAGTAAAGTGCCCCAGATCCTCCACATCTATCCTAAGGCACAGTTCATCCACATATTTATTGCTTTTGCACACTCACTTTTCTTCACCAGCTAAGTCTTTCCAGCTTGCTGTGATGTGGCACAGTTCACTCCATTACACCTGCTGAGTCACTGAGTACAGTTCTATTGAGGATCTGCATGCAGATCCCTGGTCAGGGGAGGCAAATGTCACAGTGCCGCCCTTTCATGCCACAAACAAAGGTTGATTAGAAACTAAGCAATCGCATGGAACGATTAGACAGCCAGACGTGGTGGAGTAAAAGAAATTGCAGCTGCTAGACAGAATAAGACCTGCACTAGGGAATGTGCACCGAGATTTGGACCCAACGATAAAGATTAAGCAACCCTGCTCCTGTCCCATGGAAACTGGCTGTGGGTCACCTCTCCAACTCTGTTCCCCGGGAAACCTGACGACTAGCAAGTCAACAGAGCTGCTAAACCCTCGGCTTGAACAGACATGTGCTTGGGCTGGTAGTCGGCATTTGGACTGGGAAGAGGAATGAGTGGACCCCCCTAAGGACCCGAAGGTTTAAGCTTCCCCAGCGTGGTAGCCCTTGTCATGGGCATGGCCCTTGCAGGAGCTCTGGGACTGCAAGAGGACATAGGGTCTCTGGTGGAAGGGGAAGAGAACCTAGGACAGGGAGACACCCCCCCCCCCCCACCAAGGGTGGAGCTTAGCTCTTAGCCCTGCAGACTGCTCAAGAGTAAAGACAGCCTGGCGTGACTTTGCTGGCAAACTGCTCAGCTGCTCAGAGGTGAGATTCACCCCCTCACCACACACACACACACACACACACACACACACACACACACACCACCCCACCTCTTGGCCTCTGCAAGTGCCTAGAGCTCACAAAGGACTTAGAACCCACTCCGGGTATCATAAAGCAGATGCTAAGATAGTACAGTAAGTGAAGGAAATTAAAAACAAGGGAGACCAAAAAAGAAAAGCGAGAAAACACAGGTCTTCAGCTTGTCCAAACATTAGCCCAAGCTTCTCAATCTCATGAGCAAACAGTCCAAAGTATTGCTCAACTCAGGGAAGTCAAATAGGGGTCACCCCAACACTTCCCGTGCAGTACACAGCATTGCAGACTTTGGTTTGCTTCCCTGCAGGTCCTGGCCTGCCAAGCCTGGTTGATTTCCAGTTTTGCCACTTGTTTTCATATCCTCTCACACCACACAGGAAATGAAAAGGGACAGACGTATCATATCTTTGCCCCATACAAGTGCTACCGGAGTGAATTCACAGTTTGCTTCACAGACCTAATATAGAACGCATAACTATACCCATTTTACAGATGAGAAGACTGAGGCTCGGGGAGGCTCATGGACTTGTCATACATTGGGGGTTAGCTATGCTCTCACCGAGGTTAGAGCCCCCTCTTTCTTCTGCACTCTGAGCCTGCTGGGTGGTCACTGTGTTCACAGCACAGTTCTAGGGAGGGGAGTACCCCCACTGATGAGGCATGTGAAGAGCTGACCGACTTATCCTCGCTGTAAATCTCCTTTTGGAGTCTTCACCCGCTCAAGAAATCCATGCGCTATCTTCCAGGAAACAATCCTGAAGGTGAACACTGAAGATCTGATAGCATAGCCCCCAGGGATCCTGGCTGGACCCGGGTTATTTCCCTTGAGGGCTCTGGGGACTGGACTGGCCGCTTGGCCCCCCAGTCACCATCAGTGCCTTTGCTGGGGTCTCTCTCCTGCCGGCCTCAGCAGAGGCCAGGCAGAGTCCATGCAGCGCCCTGCCTCTGCCTCAGCTCAGCTTCTTCCGCTGCTGGAAGAGGGAACATTCCAGGCTCCTGGGCCCTTCCCTGCCTCTTCCTGTTTGGTGTCCCCATAGCCCTTCCCACCCACCCCCCATTCCAGGCCTTTCTCATCTCTCATGTGCTGTCCTACATTTCCCTTCCAACTTCCTAGTCCCCATTTGTGTAACTTTCTGGTCCCCAGGACTGTGTCCATCTCACCTCCATCCAGGGCTGAGGGGCTCAGTTAGACAGGGACCAGGGAGCAGTTTCAGCCCCAGAGGAGCCAGACTCCTGGTGGAAGGAACCCTTTCGATTTGAGTCCCAGGCGCTCCTCATCAGCCATGGTTCCCCCCCTTCACCATCCCTCTCAAGGCAAGAGCCCCTGACCCCATCCTGATCGCAGCGCTGGCCTGAGGGGGCTGGCCTTCTCCTGAGCACTGCTTTCTCCTGCATGTCCTTGATTGTTTGGGGAACTGAGTAGGGGCAGGAACAGCTCTTGACACCTGCCTCAGCACCACTGGGGCCCCGTGATCTGAGCCAAGTTGTTTTTCTCCAGAAGGAAGGAAGCAGGAAAAGAACAAGACATGGTGCTCGCCCTCGCCGCAGCTCCCAGCCCACCCTGCATCCTCACAGTTGCACTCCTCTCTGACCTCGCCAAGAATAAACAGCAGGAAGGACTGGGATGAGCAAGCTTAAGTCACCACTCTCGTCTCTGCGTCTCTGCGCTTCCAGCGTCCCTACCAGTTTGGCCTGAGAATAGCGCTGAAAGGAACTTCAGTATCCCCTAGTAGAACCTCCCCCACTCCCATCCCCACCCCCACTCCCTTGTTTGTAGACAGGAACAAAGACCACAGAGAAACGTTGCACGTGAGCCAGACAGATGGAACCCAGCTCCCTAGCAACGCCTGCCAAGTTGCCAGTCAGTTGAGAGCTCCAGAAACAAGCCACCTTCTTAATCCAGGGCTGCTGCTATAGCAATTCCAGGTGAGTGGGTCTCTGCTTGAGGCGGGATAGGGGGACCTTTCCCAGATGTGAGTGGGAGCTTAGAAAAACCGTTAGGGTGGAGCGTATGTTCTCCAGTGGCGTGGCTCCCTGGGGGCATGTCATGTGGATTTCTGATGCCTCCTGGCTGGGAGCCTTGTACAAATCTCGCCTGAGAATTCAATATCTTTAGCAACAGGAAACTCTGTGCTCTTCAAAACAGTCCAGCCATCTTGGGACTGTTCTGATCTTTAAAACCCTTTTAGCACCGAACCTTGGAAGGTCTTCCTGAGTGCCCAGTCTCTGTGATCTCCAAACCAGCGTCCCACTTCCAGGGAAAGCCCTGCAAGGACTAGAAGGTGAGGACCAGCTCACCCTCAGAGCAAGCATCTTTAGGTTTCCTTGGGTGCCCTCATCTCTGTCACCTCTCCCCCAGTGTACGTGAGCACTAGCCAATGTCCAGATCAAGTTTCAAAGCCAAAAGGGTTAGGAGTCCCTGAAAGGAAAATCAAAACTAAAAAAAGGTCAACTCTCTGAAATAACCCTGAAAGTCAAGGAGGAAATGGTCCACTCCAGGATGCTACAAAGGGGTTGAGCAGACAGGCAGGAAGAGGCTGGAGGGAGGGGATCAGAGGCAAAATGGCCGGGGAGCAGAAAGAGGACTCTCCCCAACTCCAGCAATGTTTCGGGTGACTTTCTGCCCCATTGTCCTTCCAGAGACAAATGTGTGAGTCAACTACTCATGGGCACAGAGTTCCCTGGCTCAGAGGAGGGAGCCCAGAGACATTGGGTGAGAGCAACACGGATCATCACAGCCCTCCCAGACAGCCCACATTGGCTAAGAAGTAATGTAGTGCCATAATCAGAGAGAAACTTTCCATTCCAGATCTTTGTCCTGCAAATGTGCTCTGCCTCCAGCCTCTCCGTGTATTCAGGGCCAAACATGAACTCCAGCCCCCCGTGGACTGCTCAGAGGGAAGCCCAGGGAACCAGCCACTCACCTGGGAGGCACCTGAGAGTACAAGAATGTTGGCACTGGATTTCACCCCTTATGAGTGGCTGACTGCCCCTAGTTGGGTCCCATGGGGAATCATTTAGTCCCATATTTGACAGAGGGGTACAGGGCACCCAACTCTCAGGGCCAGGCATGGTGCTGGTGCCTTAGAACACAGTGCCAAGCAAGACAAAGCTCTATTCTCCCTAAATTTCCCTCAGATAGAAGGAAAAGAAATCAACTGGACTCAAATACATCAGTCACATCACTTCAGATCTTCGCCATTCTAAAAAAAAAGAACAAAAAAATCTGGACAAGGATTGGGCTGCTACTAATGTTGGGGGGAGGGCAGTTTGGGGGGGTCAGGAAAGGCCCCTTGGAGATGGTATTTCAGCAGAAATCAGCAGAAACTCCTTCTGGAATGCCATCTAATGGGTCACAAATGCTCCTGAAAAACTCCTTTTTCCTCTACTGTCCCTGCCAACCAACCTTTCCCTCTGAGCTGTACTTTGCAGAGAAAACAAGCCATCATATTGAAAACAAATTTTTAAAAAAGACCTTCAAGTCAGCCTTAGACTTGAGGAGGTCCCTGCCTGCACCTCACCCTCTCCACTACGCCCCTCAGGCAACTCCCATCAGCACTCCTCCCTCCCCTGACCCTTCCCACCTGCACCCTTAAACATGCTCAAGTCTCCACACTCAATGAAAACCAAAACGCCCTAGGTTCTGCTTCTTCCTCCAGCAAACACCCCATTCCCTTCCTCTCCTCACAGTTCAAGGGTCCAGAAACCCTGTGGCCACCACCCTCACTCCACACCGGCCACACTCCAGCTCTGCTGCAGGGACTCGGCACCTTTTGCAGGAGGATGCCAGGGGGCTCCCCAGAGCGGTGACATAGTTCAGCATCCCCTTTCTTGAAGTCATTCTAGAATGTCCTTCCATCTCTCTTAAGCCCCATCTCAGCAGCTCCTCGCTCTTCCTTTGTTCCTCAAAGACCCAAATCCAGCCCTGGGCCTCTTCCCAGGCTGAGCCTCTCCCTGTGGCTCGCACCTGATCCCATGGCTTTCTTTGCCAGGAGAGACACGAATCTATAATCGACTTGTTCCAACTTGTCTTTATCCTGAGCTCCAAAAACGTGACCAACCACCCCTGGGCTTCTCTGCCTGGCATCTCCCAGGTGCCCCAGACCCAGTATTTCTAATGTGAGTGCAGCATGCTTGTCCCCCCAAATCCACCCCTATCAGTGCCTAGGATTGGTGCTATTATCCACCCAGGCAGCAGCGGGAAGTTCTCCTTGGATCTCAGCAATGCTCAGCGTGTAGGCCCACCCAGCAGTTCTCTACAGGAACATGCAGACGGCAGCTCAGAGAGCCAGATACCGCAGCTTCTAGTAGAGGGTCCTGCCAGGAAACTCTCCTAAGCCAGGACTCCAGACACCAGTGGAGGCCCCAGTTCCAGAAGTGCCCCCACCCCTATAGATTCTTGGGTCTAAAATATTCCATTGAGACATAGAAATGTGTTCCACCTGGAAACCCAAGAAAGGCATCTCTCTCTGTAGGTGACTTTGTCAACATCTGCTCTGATCCAGTATCACTGGAACCCTGGTTGAACAAAGCTCCATGTCCCCTTTCTGATGCAAGAGGGGGTTTCCATGAATCCCTCACACCTGGCCATAGAAGAGGACTTCATATTTTTATCTCCAAGTCCATAATAGACACTGGGTTGTCTTCCCCCAGCCCCCATGTCTCTTTCTTGACCTCCACCTCACCCCATCAGCACCTGCTGGGAGGTAACCTTGATCCCCATGCTTGGCCTCTGCCACCAGTCTTTGCCAATCTGACCACTGCCTCAAACCCAAATGAGCTTCCCACCACCTAGATCTGATGCTTCATTTCTTTACCTCAGGGGTTCCTGATCCTGTCAGGAAAGAAGAGCAAAGTCCTTTCCCACTTGCCCTTCCACACTTGCATCATCAGTCATTCAGTCTGTCCCCTCTCATCTCTCAGAAAATGCAGAGCTACAGCACAGGGCAGACTGGACCCAGAGACACAAACGTCAATTAAGCGGGCCTCTTCCAAGCTCACCCACGCACGGGCCACCTCTTCCCCCTGCCTCCACACCCCACAAGCTGGCCCTTCCAGAACTCTCGAGATTCACCCCAGCTGGTTCCCAAAAATCTGGAACACTGGGCTCTGCTGTCCGTCTCTACTGCAGCTCAGCTCCTCTTGGCTGGGTTCAAGTCTGTTCTATCCATTACCTGGCTTCAACATAGGGTCACACAAAACTCATCAATACTGTGTGGGGACACAGCTCCCAAAGACTAGGTTGCTTTGGGAGGAAAGAAGAGGTTGAAGGAAATAAATGCCTCTGAGTGTTTGACAGTAAGAAGCCCTCCTCAGGGCCCGGGAGATGGCTCCAGCAGAAGGGCACACACTCGGTCTGTGCAAGGACCCAAGTTCAATCTCCAGCACTACTTGACTCCCTGTACATGGCTAAGTATGATCTCAGCCTTCCCCAAGTATCCTCAAGAGTGGCCCCATACCCTCAGCATCACAGGGTCTGGTTCCAGTTTTAAAATAAATAATAATTCTTCTCCAGTGATCTGACACCTTACATATATTCACCCAGAAGTTTGCACCTATACTTCATCTCTTTTGATCCTTTTCTAACCACCAAAGATTTTTTTATTATATTTTATTTATTTCTTTGTTTTGTTTGTCAGGGGATGGGGAATTGGGCCACACCCAGCTATGCTCCTGGCTTACTCCTGGCTCTGTACTCAGGGATCACTCCTGGTGGGGCTCAGGGGATCCTATAGGGTGCTGGAGATCAAACCAGATTGTCTGCTCACAAGACAAGTGCCCTACCCACTGCGGTGTTTCTTTATCCCTAGCGTGATGAGATATTTGAAAAGGACTTAGAGAGAGAGAGAGAGAGTAGAGGCTGTGATCAGTGCCTGCTGAATGGAAACAAACAGGTCCCACATTGCATGTCTTCCTAGGAAGCTCAAGGTCGAGGGAACTGTCTCAGCGACCACAGGACCGTGGAAGAGCCTATGTGGTCTCGGGCCATCACTTTCCACCACCCACAGAATCACAAGTCATATTTGTAGGACCTTCCCTGGTGCTCATGCTCAGGCCAACAGTACAGCGTAGCATCTGCTATGGGCAAAGTCTTCCCTGGGCCTTAGAGTAATTGAAGGGGACCCTAGAAAAATAGGGCATGACCCCATCTAAGAGGCCTCTTTCTGAGAACTGAGGAGGATAGTGGGGACCTCCCAGCACCTGAAGACTGCAATTAGCGATCAAGAAGAGAGAGATTCATCCTGAAAACCAGTCAGCACCACCCCAGCCTGGCCCTCTGTAGATCCCTGGCCCATGTCCTCTCCTACTCTCATCCTGGTCTAGGTGCCAGACCTGCGAACACCTTAGATGGCTGATCGTGGCTTTGAAAAAAATTCACAGTTCCTGGGCCAGGGGGGTGCGCCTATACTTCATCTCTTTTGGTCCTTTTCTAACCACCAAAATGAAGATATTTTTATTATCTTGGACTCGATCCCAGAGCTTCTCTAAGAATGCAAGCAGATATTCTGTCCTTTTGAACCTCAGTCTCCTCCTCTTCACACTAAGAAAAATAATCTGCCCTCCCCCACGACCCACCCTACTTCTCAGGCTCAGGTGAGAATCCAAGCGCAGAAGTGCTGAGCAGAGCAGGAAGGCACGCAAAGGTGTGGGCCTGTTTGCCCAGGAACCCTTTGTCAAGCTACAGAGCCACCACCCTCCTATCCCCACTAGCTGACCTAGCGCCAAGACCCTTCAAATGTTTGTTTCAGGGCCAAGAAGTCGGAGTGATGTTATGTTCCAGGCCTTCAAGAGATGCTCAAGGGGGGGGTGCTGGAGTGTTTGCGAAAGGGAGCGGGCAGGCAGCGCCCACACGGGATGAGTGTGAGCAAGGGTCTGCGTTGCAGTGAGCGAGGTTCTGTGGCTGAAGCAACCCCAGCTTTGGGAAAGGTGACTAGAAGGGGAGGGACATGAACGAAAAGGAATGGAGGGGCATCCTAAATGTTTCCCGAACCCCCATCAGGACCAGACCTCAATGTTGCCTGACCCTCCTTCCAACTTGGTGGAATTCACCCAGCCCCCACCAGGCCTTCCCTTGTCCTCGCCACCATCTGTCCCCTCTAGCCATGCCCTGCCCTCCCACAGCTGCTGCTCCCTGCGATGTCCCTCTGGACCAGTCTCTGTGCTGGAACCTGAGCATATGCAGGGGCACAGCAGACAAGTCCCAGAGACATGGTTAGGAGAGGGCCATGAGCCAGGAAATGGGAGGAGATGACCCCGTCATAGAACAGGCTCTGAGATACAGAGCACAGAACTGATGCAAAAGTCTGGGGAGACTTTTGCGCCCCCTCCCGCAGGGGCAGAGAAGCCTCGGGGGTCTCTTTCCCCTCTAGTCAGCCTCTTAAGACCAGGACCAGGCCTGATTTGTCACCCCTGCCCACCCTTTCCTTTTCTATCTCGCTGGAACATGGCTGGCTCCCTGGCCTTCCCACGATGACAGCAAGCCATCAGGGTCAGTCAGTCAGCCCGGGCAGTCCTCTCCCAGAGGTCAAGTACATTCCCCGCATCAGTCTGGCAGAACTGTCTCTTGTCTCCAAGCCTTCATCTCAATCTGGCCATTGCACCTGGATTTCCTAACCTGGCTGCAGATCAAAACACTTGGGGAACTTCTTCAATTAGCAAAAGGTTCCCAGGTATTAGTTGGAATCTCCAGGGGCCAGAAGCTAAAGAATCCGCTGCTGCCACTTGGGTTCAGTGTCATTGGCAGAGCCCTGAGGTCTAGGTCCCATGACAGGAGGAGCAGAGAGGTAACCCTGCCCCCGTGCTAAGATGGTTCCCACCACCCTGCAAGTATGCCAGGATCTGAGTTCAAAGTCAGGCCATAGGCTCAACAGGGAGCACCTCACCTCGGCCTGCACCAACCCCTTGGATACAGGATGCAGTCACCTTGGGCTCACTGTCATTTTCTGAGATAAACATCTGCACCCTGTAGCCACTGAGTTCCATGGGTGGAGACAGCAGCCCCCAAAGTTACAAACAACAGAGCAGACAGCCCAGCTGATGCCTCCATCTGCACCCTGCAGCCACGACTGCTACCGGTGCCACCTCCAAGTGCAGTTGCCTGGTTCTGCCGGGTCGAGGTGACTCACGGAACACTCAGGGAGCTTTCTCTGCACCTTGGGCGCTAGGAGGATAGTGCCCCCCACCCCAACTCCGAGGCCAGCTTGCACAGCAGGAGGGGGTGGGAAAGCCGAACAAGAACCAGGACTCCTGGGACATCTGCTTCTTGCCCCAGGACAGGGGGCCCTGCCGGGTCCCTGGGGAATGAGGACTAGCCTCGGAGGGAAAGGAGAGAGTTCTTCCTCCCCCCACCCACCCCTTGCATACCTCTTGGGCGTGCCCGAAGAGCCAGTGGGTGGGGGGCCCGGGGAAGCTGTCCATGGCCTTGGCCAGCATCTGTCTCCGCAGCAGCAGGCTAACAAATTTGAGGAGGACTAAGACCAAGACCAGCACTGAGGCCCACAGCCCCAGGCGGGAGGGACTCACGGAGACCAAAACGGGCACCATGGTGGGAGTGACTGCTGCCCGGCTCCAGCTGGCCGCCGCCTGTTGCCCCCAGGTTCCTTATACTCTGGACCCAGGCACCCTGCCAGCCCCCACCCCTAGCCCCGCCCTGGCTGGGCCGAGCTCCATGGGCGGAGATAGCAGCCCCAAAAGTCACAAACAACAGAGCAGACAGCCCGGCTGATGTCTCCAGAAACAAACCCAGACCAAGAGAAGGCAGCTGTGGGTTCCAAAGAAACCAGAGTATCCCACTCCCGTGTCTTGGAGGAGCGAACAGAAAGTGACCCTCAGAGTGCTCGTAGGAGTAACAAGGACTGTCCTTCCTCTAAGCACTTTATATACTTCAGGAACTTTCCACAGACTCTCTCATTTAACCCAAACAAAGAGGCTGTAGGAATTCACCCTTTCTCTATGTATACGTTTTGGCTTGGAAGCCATACCTGGTTGTTCTCAGGGGCTGCTCCTGGCTCAGTTCTCAGGGGCTGCTTCTGACTCAGTGCTCAGAGGAAGCTCCTGGTTCAGTGCTCAGGGCCTACTCCTGACTCAGTGCTTGGAAGATTATATGCTGCTGGGGATCAAACCCAGGCCTCCAGCATGCAGACCATGTGCTCCGATCATTTGAGCTCTCTCTCTCCAGTCTGGGAGATACAACCCAGACTTCATATTTATATTCTTCACTCTTCATATCCATTTTTCATACAATGAAACCGAAGCCCCGCTTGCCTGGACTTTCGACCAAGAAAGCACCCAGGGTCCCTTTTTAACATGGACTCTTGAGAAGACTTGTGTTCATGCCAGTCTCCTGATGCTGTGATGATCTTGTGTGTGAGTCACTTTCCAAAACAACGTTCTGGCCCCAGAACCCTGAGCTGTGGGGGAAACCCAGATTCCAGAAAGGCCAACTGCACCCTCCACTCCCACCAAGACTTTGGTACAAACTAAACTTGAGGTACTTAAACTATTGCCTTCAGGATGAGGAAGGGAGAGCATCAAATTCAAACTCCTCTGAGACGAGGGAGATGATTCAAAGGGCTCAAGCACATGTTTCACACACAGAGCCTAGAGTTCGATTGATTCCTGGCCCTGTATGGTCCCCCCACCATTGCTGCTATTCCCTAAGTGGGGCTATTCCCTAAGAGGGACAGTGTCCCCCTGCAAGGCTGCAGCAACTTTGGCTCCCCAGAGCAGAGACTTGGGGGAAGAACAAGCTGATCCAGGCTTCAGCCCTGCCTGGATACTCTGCCATCTTCCCTCTTATCCTGGGTGGACCCCGTGGGACCCCCTTGAAAACAGAATTCATGGCAGATGAGGAGACATGTAGGACCAGCTCCTGTTAGAAGGGTGGAGAGGGTTCAGGAGCCAAATAAGGCATGAAATGTCTGGCCATCCCCAGGTGAGGGGACCAAGAGGAAAGCAAGTTCCTGCTGCCCAGCTGAAGCGGCTACTGCCAGAGAGGTGACACTAAAGCAGGGAAGTGGAAGAGAAATGTTGCACTGCCTTCTGGTCTCTCTCAGCCGAGGAGAGGTGGCCAGGCAGCCTGGGGGAGCGAGGGCTCGAAGTCAGCCTCCTGCAAGTGCAGAGATGAGGCTAGACTAGCGCATGCCTGACAGGGAGCAAAGTCACAAAGCAGTAGACTTGAAACTCAGCTTCCAGACCTCAGGAAGCAGGTGCTGACTCAGAGGAGGGTAAAGTGCTAATCAGCTCCCTGTACCTCCTGCAGCAGGGGCCGACCAAGCTGCCACCTCCTCCTCTTCGGGGAAGACTCCACGTCCATCCCTGCCCATGGGCAACAGCAAGATGAGAGCCAAGAGATGGAATCCCAAGGGAGTGCCTGCAATTCCACACTTAATTCCCTCAGGAAAGCGCGTGCCCTAGTTAATGTGCAAGTCATCCCCATCGGGAAATGAGGCAGCAGAAAGAGCCACCTGCAGACAGCCCCTTTATGGAGAGACCCATCAGCGTGGTCTCAGCCTAGAAGTGGGATATGTGGGGGTGTGCCAGAGGGGCTTCCACCTGCAGAAAGAAAGCCTGGAAAAACCAGTGAGGCACCCTGGGATGTGAGCAAGCCTGGCCTCAGAGGTGGAGCACGGGGAGTGCACATTGGTCTGTGACTCCTTGTCCATTTTCTGCTTTCCTCTTCCAACCAGCATCATAAATCGGTCAACCTTGGTGTGCATCTCACTCTCAACTACAGCATGAACCTGTATCTGCTTAAAAGTCTGCTTTAGAGGTCCAGTGGCATAGGAATTAAGGCCTCTATCTTGCATGCAACCAGGGTCAGTCAGAGCTGGGGATGGCCCCTGAGAATCACTGGATATGACCCAACTTCCTCTCATTTCCCAAAAAGGGTTATGAGCCCAATAGATAACATAGTAATTAATGCACTCTCCTTGAACATGGTCATCCCCAGTTTGTTCCCTGGCACCTGACCATCACCAGAAGTAACGCTTGAACAGAGTCAGGAGTCACCCCTGAGTACCCCTGGGTACAGCCACAAAAACACACTGCATTCGTGGAGTCTTTTTGTTTGTATTCATTCAGTGGGATCGCTCAGAAAAGTAAAGCAGTGACCAGAGCAATAATACAGAGCGTAAGGCACTAGTTTTGCATATGACCAAAACATATTCCATCCCTGGCACCCCATATGGTCCCCCAGACCTGCCAGGAGTGAGTACTGAGCCAGGAGTAAGCCCTGAGTATAGTCAGGTGTGGCCTAAAACCAAACAAACAAAAAGTTGAAGCACATGCCTGGTGTGCAAATGCCTCAAATAGCATTCCTGGGTGTGACCCTGGAAACCCTCAGCACTGCTGGACCAAGTGACCCTCTCCTGCGTAGGGACCCCTAAAAAAAAACAATCTTCATTCACCTTGCCCATAGCAATCAGCTCTTTGGAGTATAGACAAATGATCACCATCAGTTGACAGGAGCTACTGAAACTTGATTGCAGGCTTTAATTGAAGTGCTGGAAGAGACTGTCTCCTTAATACTGGATTTGAGGTGGAGTATATGCCCTCCTCAGTCATGAATGTGACACTAAGGACCTGAATGGAGAAATATAAAGAGAGAAATTGAATACCAGTCACATTGTTTCAGCTCCTGGATCAAGCTTCACTGGCGGCTAGGAGCGCTTTTATGTCTTTCACAAGATTCAATCAATCTGCCTTATTTTCTAATTTGATTTGAGGTGGGGTTTTGGATATCCAAAACCAAAGGCCTGATTAAATTGGGCTGGAACATATTTAGGGAGCAACGCTAAGACAGACTGAGAGAATTAAGCCAGGACAGGCCCTGGTGATCCTCTTACAGTGCTCTAAAAAGAGTGAGTCCCTTCCAAGGGCCTGAGAGGACTCAGAGAGGAATTTTAAGTGAGATCAACTTTGGCCAACCTCCCATGAAGGGGGCAAGAAACGATCTGTTTGTGGTGAAAGGGAAGGGCGCCGTTTGGAGAAGCAAACATCTGAGAAGCTATGAAGCAGAAATCACAAGGAGAGGAGCACGTCAGGAGGCTGGAATGTCCAAAGCAGGGTTACCATGGGGCCTGGAAAAGAGGAGAACCCAGGCTGGACTTGGGCTTCTGCGCTGCAGAGCCCTTGCACAGAGGAGTGGGTGCTCAGAGATCTGTTTCACAAAGATCGCCATAACCCACCACAAGGTCATTTGCCATAAGAAAAGATCAAATAACTGGTTGACAGGTTTTTTTTACCACTAGTAAGTGTTTCTGTTTTTCTATCACATAAATAAATCTTAGACCTCCAAATGATCTGCCAGGAGAGGATCCACGAGATAGGTGATAACAGCTACAGTGGATAATAACAAGTCAATATATCAACTTGATACAAAACATGTGATAAAGTTAAGGTCAGTACCCCCTTTCAGCTGACTTCACTTCCTTCCTTGTAGCCGTTATTTGGGAACTTGCTTGTTCTCAGATGTTCCAGGCTGTGCACGCCAGAGACGAGCCTATGGTTTCCCTTGATTTGCACAGCTGAACCGGGAAAAAAAGACTCCTGACTCGCAGTGAATACACGGCCAGGTCCCTAAATGGAAGACCTGCACCCGAGGATTCCACAGATACTGAGTTTTGCGGGAATTGAGAGAACCGTGCCAGCGTGGCCCCATCGCCCTACCCTGCTCCTACCCTGGCCCTACATGCTTCAGCTAGGCCTTCCTGCCTGCCACCACATTTGCTAGCCTGCCGCCACGTTTGCCAGCACCCAGAAAGCCCCACACTGGCTGGAGCGACAGTACAGCTGGGAGGGCACTTGCCTTGCGATGTGTTTAACACAGGTTTGATCCCTGGCACAGCATTATCCCCTGAGTCCTCTAAGAGTGGTCCCTGAGTGCAGGGCCAGAAATCAGCCCTGAGCACAGTCAAGTGTGAAACCCCCTCCCCCCCAAAAAATATAAAACAAATCCGGCAGAAGGCACCTCGCAACTCAGTGCTGGCTGAGAGTGGAGGGATCTACTATGATCATGGGAGTTGGGAGGACAATGTTAAAAATATTGAAAGTGCCCTCATTCCTGCTGGATGGACTCCTCTTGTGACTGTCTCTGTACCTGCTGCCCAGTGGGGAGTCCAGAACTGTCTGAGATTCTCAGCCTGACCCTACTTGGTTTCCCAGGGTGCCAAGCAGTTGGAATGAGTGATGGGTGTGAGTTCTTAGGCAGGGAAGGGACTAGATCACATTCAAGAGAAGAAAAATCCTATCTAGAACAGTAGTTTTTTTGTCTATTATTTTTTTATTGACTCTGAATCACTGTGAGATACAGTTACAAAACTTTTGTGATTGGATTTCAGTCATACAGTGTTCCACACCCATCCCTCTACCAAGTGTACATTTCCCACCACTAATATCCGACATATTCCTCCTGCCACCCCCGCCGTTCCAGCCTGTCTCTATGGCAAACACTTTCTCTCTCTCTCTGTCTCTGTCTCTCCCTTCTCTCGATCCTTCTCTCTCTCCCTTCTCTCTCTCCCTCTTTCTCACCCCTTCTCTCTCTCTTTCTCTTACTCTGTCTCTTCCTTCTC